GAAGGAAGGAAGGAAGGAAGGAAGGAAGGAAGGAAGGAAGGAAGGAAAGGAAAGGAAGAAGAGGCGAGGGGGGAAGGGAAGGGAAGGGAAGGGAAGGGAAGAGAAGGGAAGGGAAGAGAAGAGAAGAGAAGAGAAGAGAAGAGAAGAGAAGAGAAGAGAAGAGAAGAGAAGAGAAGAGAAGAGAAGATACTAATGTTGAGGGGAAGAAGCAACTTTTTCGCATTCCAGAGACTCTCAAATCTCTGGAGACATTTGATTTAGATGTTCCATAGCTTCTTTGTTTGGCGCAGTGACTTTGATCCCAACTCTTAAACATCAATTTGCTTCAGTATCTCAAAAGAAATTAAAAAAAAAAAAAAACTTGCAGGAGCAATCATGAGGAAACCATGAGTTAAAATTCAGGATACAGTATCAAACGCAGCAGTCAGCTTACAAAAAGTCAAACATTAAATGCATGTGAATGAAGAAGCAGTATATATAATCTGAAGAGCCTGAAAAAAGTTTTGGAAAATGACTTCACATGGAAAATTGACTGTAATCGAATGCCAATTTCCTTAGAAGTAGCTGTTTCTAAATAGCCCTGCAAAAAAATTGTGCACTTTAATGTAATTTGCACATTACATAGAATTAGCCTTTCCTTGCTCCAAAATTGAACTTTTAGTGCTTAAAAAAATATAAAATACAGTTAGTCCTCGCCTTAACAACCAACATTGACCCCAAAATTTTCATTGGTAAGTTAGATAGTTGTTAAGTGAGTTTTGCCCCATTTTGCAACCTTTCTTGCCACAGTTGTTAAGTGAATCATAGCAATTTTTAAGTTAGTAGCACAGTTGTTAAGTGAATCTATCTTCCCCATTGACTTTGCTTGTCTGAAGGTTGCAAAAGGGGATACCCATGACCCCTGGGACATTGTAAATGTTATAAGAACCAGTTGCCAAGCATCCAAATTTTGATCACATGACCACAGGGATGCTACAATGGTTGTGTGAAAAATGTTAAGTTTCTTTCTTCAATGCTGTTGTAAGTTCAAATGTTCACTAAATAAATGGTTGTAAGTCGAGGACTACCTATAAATATCCAACTCAAAAAGTCCACATTCTTTAGGAATCTAAAACGTATTTGTATGATTGAAACGCTCAAATATGTTCTGGAGAATATCTTACATCACCCATTTTTCTTGTGGTGCACTTTTGCACCGGAGACCAATTCCTTGTGTGTCTAATCACACTTGGCAAAATAAAGTGTTCTGTTCTATTCCTATTCTAAAGGATATTCAAGTAGGGGAATGTAGTCTAAAGCAGGGGTCCCCAAACTTGGCAACTTTAAGACTTGTGGACTTCAACTCCCAGAACTCCTGAGCTAACATGAGTGGAGGAGGAATTCTGGGAGTTGAAGCCCACAAGTCTTAAAGCTGCCAAGTTTGGAGACGTCTGGTCTAAAGTCTAGTGCAGGGGTCTTCAAACTTGACAGCTTTAAGACTTGTGGACTTCAGCTCCCAGAATTCCTCCTCCAGTCATGTTAGCTCAGGAGTTCTGGGAGTTGAAGTCCACAAGTCTCAAACTTGCCAAGTTTGAAGACCCTTGGTCTAGTGAATTATTACACTTTTTAAATGCCTCCCACATTTAACAGGAATAAAATTCTCTGCGTGCAGAGGATTGAACCATCGAGGAAAATGTCTGTCTGTATTATCCCAACTTTCTAAACCAAAGAAGGCTTCGATACCAGGAGGCATTAAAAATGCAGGACTTCACCCCTCCCTGCTTTTAAAAGCAGCAGATCCAGAGGCCACCTTACAATTATAATTTAGGCTGTAGAAGTTCCTTCTCAGACTGATAAGCATTCAGGAAACCATTATGTAAATAATGCATTGCTGTAGATTCCTTCTTTATCAGAGAAGGTTCCTGACCTCCATTCCAGAGCCACCATAAAGCTGGAATAACAGTTCTGAAAAGCCTTGGCCCTGACGCACATATAAATATACTGGTTACAAACTGAAATTAGTTCACTCGCTTGAATTCTTTTATCACAAGGGCTTAATAACATTTGCCGAGGGGAACTTTGAAGGTTTACGCTTAGAAATAATCCCTGAGTGCTAAAATGGGGTGAAGTTGGAGACTGAAAATGGTGGGTGCTAAGCTACTTTCTCTGAAATTGGTTGTGATGCTGGGTTTTTACACCTTAATCGCTTTGTTTTTATTGTTTTTAAGAGTGTTTTTGTTCTTTTACCTCAGCAGTGAACAGCCGGAGTCGTGTCTTTTAAAAAGGGCAGCCATATCAGTCTTTTAATAATGGCAGAAATATTAACCTCTCATGCTGGCTGGAGAATTCTGGAAGTTAACAGAGTTGGAAGGGACCTTATAGGTCATCTAGTCCAACCCATCCCCTGCCCAAGTGGGAGACCCTACACCATTTCTGACAAATGGCAGTCCAATCTCTTCTTGAAAGTTTCAAGTGATGAAGCTCCCACAACAACTGAAGGCAACTTCTGTTCCATGGGTTGATTGTTCTCACTGTCTGAAAGTTTCTCCTTATTTCTAGGTTGAATCTCTGCTTGACCAGTTTCCATCCATTATTCCTTGTCTGGCCTTCAGGTGCCTTGGGAAATAGATTGACCCCTTCCTCTCTGTGGCAGCCTCTCAAATACTGGAAGACTGCTGTCCTGTCTCCCTTGGTCCTTCTCTTCTCTAGCATTGGAAAAAGTGACTTGTGACCATTTTTCACAATTATGACCATTGCAGCATTCTCGTGGTCATGTGATCAAAATTCAGACACTTGGCAAGTGACATGTATTTTTCATGGCTGCCCTGTTCTGGGATCATGTGATCAACTTTTGCAACCAGCCACGTCAATGGGGAAGCCAGGTTCACTTAACAATGGTGGCAAGAAAGGTCATAAAATGGAGCAAAACTCACTTAACGGTCCTGCTTAGCAACAGGAATTCTGGGGCTCAGCTTGTGGTCCTATAAATCAAGGACTGCCTGTATTCAGTCAGGAAAACTTCATGGTTTTCGAAGGAAAGTTTCAAAGATCTGAAAGGTAGAGAGTTGTCACATTTTGAACACTAGAGGAGTTTAAAAATGTTCCTCCAATGTTCAAAATTTAACACTTTTTACATTTGAGCGTTTGATTTTGCAAACCGTGCAGATTATGGACTTGCATCTTTCTGCACCAAATGATGTCATTGGCATTATATGTATGATGTGATGCCATTTGCTCTTCCGGTGAACACAAGGCAATGACACAGATCCTGCCAATATATTCTTACTGAAGCTTCCTGTGTTACACATGGTTATCTTTAAGAGGAAGGAGTTCTGTATCACAAACTCAGTAGCCGCATCTCTGAGTTTAAAAAAAAAGATTTATTAGGAGTGAACATGCAGGTGCTATCTGGGTGCAGCCGACTCTGAGACAAATCATTCATTTCACCCTTGACCCTGGTCTTCCCCACCCCCTGGGTATATATTCTCCAATGGGACACACCCATAGCCAAAAGTCATCAAACATACTCTCTAGTAATAATCTTGGGCGCCAGAAGCTTCGGCCACCTAGCAATTATCCACGAAAGCATTTAAGGAATGCATTACTTCCCCTGCTCCCTTTCTGGCTGTCAAACTCTAAAAGACCAGAGAAATATTTTTGAGTTGATACTCAGGTTTCTGCATTTGGAAATACCGCAGAAAATTGCTTCAGTGGAGTCTCACGAGGGAGGACTTACCAACGCAAAGGATGTTGAAGCAGAAGCCTTGGGAGGTTGACTTGTTCACCAGCTGATCTGGGAGACTGTCGAAGCCGACATGGCCTGACAAGCCGAGATTTCGAAGGTCGTCGTTCTGCAAGTCCAAAGAGAAAAGGTTTGAAGGCTTCCGCAGAACTAATTTCCATTTACAGACAGTCCTCGACTTACAACGGTTCATTTAGTGACGTTCGAAATTACAACAGCACTGAAAAAAGTGACTTAGGATGATCATTTTTCACACTTAATGACCCTTGCAGCATTCCCCATGGTCATGCGATTAACGTTCGGATGCTTGACAACTGACTCACATTTATGACGGTTGCAGTGTACCTGGAGTCGTGTGATCCCCTTTTGCGACCTTCTGACGAGCAAAGTCAGTGGGGGAAACCAGATTCACTTAACAACCGTGTGACTAATAGAAGAACTGCAGTGATTTACTAAACAAATGTGTCTAGAAAAGTTGTAAAATGTATGACTTTTAAAATAAAATAAAATAAATAATTTTATTTTAAAATAAACTGCCTAAGGAGCTGCTGATACAGTTCTACAGAGGAATGATTGAGTCTGTCATCTGCACCTCTATAGCTGTTTGGTTTGGTTCTGCAACCCAACAGGACAGACACAGACTTCAGAGGATAATTAGGACTGCAGAAAAAACAATTGCTACCAACCTGCCTTCAATTAAGGACCTGTATACTGCACGAGTCAAAAAGAAGGCTGTGAAAATATTTACAGACCCCTCACATCCCGGACATAAACTGTTTCAACTCCTTCCCTCAAAACGACGCTATAGAGCACTGCACACTAGAACAACTAGACACAAAGACAGTTTTTTTCTGAACCCCATCACTCTGCTAAACAAATAATTCCCCCAATACTGTCCAACTATTTACAAAGTCTGCATTACTATCACTATTAACCTTCTCATCACTCCTTATCACCCATCCCCTCCCACTTGTGACTGTATGACTGTAACTTTGTTGCTTGTATCCTTACGATTTATATTGACTGTTTCCTAGTATGATTCGATTGCTGATTGTACCCTATGACTATCATCAAGTGTTGTACCTGATGATTCTTGATTCTTGACGAATGTATCTTTTCTTTTATGTACACTGAGAGCATTTGCACCAAGACAAATTCCTTGTGTGTCCAACCACACTTGGCCAATAAAGAATCCTATCCTATCCTATCCCATTCCATTCTATATTCTATTCCATTCTATATTCTATTCTATTCTATTCTATTCTATTCTATTCTATTCTATTCTA